TATTGTAAATAACTTAAAACTATGAACAGCTATATTTTACATATGAATGAATGGAACGTGTCTGACATCATACTTATAACGGATGACATCAACTTTTCACCGTGTGATTACTGGAGCCTTTACAACCATCGACCGTTCATATAGTAAAGTACGGTAGCCTTCGCAACCACTTGCTTCATTTGATGTCACTGCTAAATAAAGCGACTGACACGGTTTGTAAATACGAGAACGATGTTTCGAGTAGCACCTATTCCATAATTAGATGCTTATTATGAGATTCGTTGAAAATCAGTTTCAAAGTCCAATCTATCATGAACGATCTTATCATGAGTTTTATAACATACAGGTGTTTCATGAACCAGATTCAAAGATCATGAATTTTTTGTTTCAGTATTATAGGTGTCTGGATTAGCATAATTTGTTGTCTGAACTATTCGTCTTGTCAAATTCTCTTGACTAGAATACTTCTCTTTCTGTAATTTTTCAATAATGTTCTCTTGTTGCTTAATTATATCATTCAAATATTGTATTTTACGTTGATAGTCAAGTTTCATCCGGCGTACACGAACTTCTTGTAATTTTATACGTTTCTCCACAGAATCTACCTGTTGTTTCGTACCTTTTCGAACAATCTGAAATCATAAATTGTTTGCAGTTATTATTATTATTATTAAATACTATATTTTATTAAATACTATATATACGTTGACATACTTCCAATTGGCTTTTTAAGCCTTCCATTCGATTGTTAATACTTTTACCAAGACGATCCACATTTGCATTTTCTTTTTCCGTTTCGCATAAAAAGACAAGTAATTTTTCTCTTTCTGCAACAATTCTTTCATACTCGGAAAATAATTCTTCGCAATGATCAGTCATTTTACTTAATTTCTCTTTTAAAGAATTACGTGAAACTCGAGTCGAATAAATAAGAGTTTGCATATGTTCAATTTTACGTTGCGTTTGTCTGCAAAAAATCTAAGTACTCGTTATGTATGGACAGTATATTTGCATAAAAAATGTACAAATAAATGACTTACTTTACACTGGTTTCAAGTTTTTCTACAAGACCCTTTAAATAATTCCTTTCAGCTGTAACCATTATAAGTTGTTTTTCGTTCTCAGGTTGATTTTCCTCTATTCGTTTTATATGATTGCAAAGATTGCGCTTTTCACTTTCATATTGATGCTTTAATTCATCTAACAATGTTTTATATTCTTCAATAGCGGTAGTATGAATAATAGTAGGTACACTTTCTTTACCCTTCATTTTTTCAAACTCTTTGCTTAAAATTTCGTATTTTCCACGTAGATTGCTCAATTCTGATGCCGAAGTAGTATATTCTTTTTTTAACGTTTCATTATATTTTAAAATTACTTCCATTTTTAATTCATACGATGAATGAGTATCATTAATTTCTCTTTTTATATTTGCAGCCTCCTTTTTTAAAATATCATTTTGGTTTTTCAGCGACGTAATATTTTCAACCAATTTTTTAATCTCCTTTGCATACCTATTGCACTACATAGTTTTCATTACAGTTATTTATATGACAATTGAAATATCTTTTATTTATTTATCCACATCATCTATACATTTATAATTATTTACCTCTAATTTCAATTCCTCTACTTCTTTGTGCATAAATTCATTTTCCACAAGGATTTCTTTGCATCTACTACTAAAATCAGCCATTTCCTGTTCATACATCTGTACAAGTTCTTGCTTTTCTGATAAATTTTCTTGGTAAGCGTTTAAAAGTGGACCCAATGCATGAAAATTAATACTTCTCCAAATTCTTGAATCGTACTTCCTTTTATTTTCTGTGTATATATGTTCACGCTTTTGATCTCCTAACTTGTCTTGATATCTTTCTAATTCGGTATTTAACTGGTAAACAATATTCTTTAAAAGTGCTATATCTTCAGTTGATTGAACTTTCTCTATTTCAAGTTTTTGATTATGTTTAACCAAAGTGATTTTGGCTTCTTCTAATTCATGAATTAATACTTCATAATGTGAACATACTTTCTTATGCTCTAATTCTCTTTGCTCCAATATATCATTCAATTTTTGACATTCTTCCTTAATACTTTTATAACGTTTTCCCAATTTATTATACTCATTAATTATTTTTGTTGTGTCCTTTGAGATAAGTCTTTTTGTTTTTGATGAAATAATACCTGAAATGATAGTATAGGATTTTTACTAAAATATAGTGTAAGATGAAATATAAGATTTTTACTGTCATTTATCCATATCAATGATCAGCTACCTACAACATATATAATACCTGAATCTGCATCACCTTCTTCAGATGCTTGTTTTTGTGAAATACTGAGCTCATTTAAACTTTTACTTCTTTCATGTTCATATGTTTCACTTTTATTCCTCAATGGCAATTCATTCATACTATTATCGATTACCCAATCTGATGGATATTCATGAGCATTGCAAGTTTTCAATATATGTTTTGTTTTTGCAATGCGTCTACGACGATAAATTGGTATAGAAGTTGTATCCTGATTACTTATTATATCTGTTGTTTTCCTATGCTACACAGTAAGAAAAGTGAGGTTACGATTATGTGAAATACTTTTTTAGACAAATTTTTGTTCTCCTACAAAATATTAAATATTAAATATATTAAATGTATTATTAATTATAATTACCTTCTCTTTTTTGTGGTCAATGCTACTGTCAAAACTAGCCATTTTTATTTTTTCTTTTACAATTTAAACGTGACGTAAGTTAATAAAATCGTTTAGTCAAAATTATTAAAAATATTTAAAACTGTGAGTGATCTGATCTATTTCACATATCACAAATTTATTCGAACAGAATATGCACGCGTACACTTGTACAGTTGTACATATTTTTATTAATTTCTGAGTTTGTATTCTATCCATTGCCATAGTAACTATTTAATATATTAAACATTCTCACTAGATGGTGCTTGATTCAATTTTCCTGTACCTATTTTTAAGTCATAAACATTATCCGCTGATCTGCTAACAAATAAAAATAATTCAAAAGCAATTACAAAAACTTCAGATAAATTATAAATTCAATATTTTTCTCTTTGTTTTCAAAATTTTATTTCACAATTAAGTCATTAAATGATTATTTATCTAATACGTTACGTAAATATGCTTTTATATTCGTGTAATATAAAAATTATATAAAAAATAGAGAAATAAATGATTTTATTGCGCGTAAAATTTTCAATGATTAGTGCACATTATTATCATTAGTATTTCAAATTTTAATTATAGCAATTAATATCTAAGACGTCCTCGATTTTGACGTCATATCTATATCTACATTAATTAAAAAAAAATAATATCGCGAAGAAAATGCTTTTTTCAAGTACATGATTATGTGAATATATAATTATAATTTTTCTTTAATGATAATGAAAAACATATGATAGATATGAATAATATTTTTGCGTTTAGCTATACTCTATTTATTATTAGTAAAATCTGCTGCATGTAAAGAAAGAAAAAAAATTAACTTTCTTAGTATTGTATTATATTTTTATATTAACTTTTGCTTGGTTAATATAAATTATAAATTTGAAAAAAAATTATTGTATCATTCAGATAATTAACTATTTACATGATTAAATGTGGAACAAATACACTTTTTAAGTGTTAAAAATATCACAAAGTAATTAATTGATTATTTTATCAATTGATATTTATTTTTAATTACCAAAGTATATATATCACATGACTTCTAATTAAGCGTAAGATATCAATGTCTTGGATATTTATCATGCTAATCTAATTAAGAATTATTGATAATAACATGTAATAATTCTGGTCAATGCGATTATCTTAACGATTATATGACTAATCAAAAAAAGAAATACGAAACACATGTACGTTGAAGATGAACGAATATCAATATTAAGAAATTTTTGTTTCCAAGTAGTTGTCGTAAATCTACTTTCATTCTCGAGGTTGTAATTACCTCTGATAAGGTCTCGCGATAATACCGTAGAATCATTAGTCGTTGCTTTAACTCGTTTTTGCGATGTGGATAAAAACCCCGGAATGCACGAAAATGTAGATAGATGAGTAGCAATCGTGCCTTCGAAATTCTGTATCTGTCACGTAAGAAACTGTTGATCAAAATATCATGGTTTCCGTACGCATTATCACCGCATTCCACAGTATTATGACAAAAGGTAGACACAATGAATTTTTTTTACGAAAGAAATATGTTAATATTTTGACGAAAGAAATATAAGACAAAGAATTTAACAATTGTTTCATATTTTTTATTGTACATAATCGTTTGCGCTATTCGCAGAACATAAATAATATTACATTTATAATTACTACACTTATAATTACATCTTGTGACTTGCTTGCGCTTTAAGTATTCGTTCTAAAATAATATTTATATTTAATTTTCTGCTTTTCGCTGAAAATAAAAAGATCATTTAATTAAAAAGTCAAACTTATCTTAATTATTTTGCAAGAAAAATTTTTACGTTGCAGCGGCGTTTTTGTTGCTTAGTTGGTCTGTATTTTCGATTGAATTAAGTAATAGTCAATGCGACTATTCCGTTAAATTAACTTCTACGCATCCCGTTCAGTATCTTCAATATCAGTACTATAAGGAGGCAGTATCATGTTCGTGGACAGTCACGAGCGATTATAAAGTTAATTTATCTTGTTCTGTATTTGAATTACCATGGGTAAGACCACAGTTTTTAATGAAGAATTTTTTTAATAAAGAATTATTACGAGGAATTGGAAATAATGAATAATTTTCGTGTAGAGTGCCGATTGCTTTCTTGACAGACTAGCTGTGCAAATCGGTCCTTCTGCTGTACATCGATATTGTGGTAATGGAACGTTTAATATACAATCTGAATCAAACTCTATGGTTATAACACTGCAATCGCCAATCTGGTCGAATGGCGGTCGATTTTTTTGTGAAGTGAAATCATTGTCTAGACCGCAAAATCCTGAAAACTGTTCATGTGGAAGAAAAAATCCCGTATGTATTTATCGGAGTAAATTTATCGACATTCCCTCCAAATAAAATGAAATTATTTCGGACAATTGGGACTTTTGTCGATCTTTCTTAGAGCCGGATAGTCGGTGGAACTAATGTTGGAGTAAATGAGTTCCCTATGATGTGTGGTCTTGTGGATGCCCAATTACGAATTGTGTTCTGTGGAGCTACTATAATATCCGACAGATACGTATTAACTGCAGCGCATTGCATCATTAATAGAGATTTTCAATATTTGGGGGTCCTTGTTGGGGATCATGATTTGCAGACAGGTACGTATTAGCTGAAAATACAAATATTTTCATATTTCGCACTGTGAATGTGATTTCAATACTTAGGAACGGACACAAATGCTACGGTATTACATCGAGTAATACAGGCTATTATACATCCTGAGTACAGTAAAACAAATAATGAAAATGATGTGGGTATCTTAAAAACAGAAAAAAATATAATATTTAATAACCAGGTAGGCCCTAGTTGTCTACCTTTTCAACATTCACCTGATACTTTTGGCGGCAGTTATGTTGAATTATTGGGTTAGTGATATAATGATTATGTAATGAACACGTTGCTATTTTATCTCAATACTGATGTTAAAACTAGGTTGGGGAACAACGGATTTCGGTGGTCCAACTTCTGATATTTTACAAAAAGTTACTGTAAGCGTACTTACGAATCAACAGTGTTCTAAAACTTACCCGAATGTAACTACAAATCAAATCTGTACCTATGCTGAGGACAAGGATTCGTGTCAAGTAAATCTCTTTTTGAATTACGATTAATTGATAACTGAGATATAATTGAGACAATTGATTGATTAAATACATTCTTTATGAATATATTAATACTGAAAAATCTGCTTAATAAATAGATGGATAGTGGTGGGCCAGTTTTATGGCAAAATCCTACGACTAGGCGACTTGTCCTGATAGGGATCATTAGTCTGGGTAGAGGTTGTGCTATTGCTGCTGGTTTAAATACTAAAGTTGGTTCTTACATAGATTGGATTGTTTCAGTAACTCAAGGTATGACTTTAAAATATATATATATATATATATATATATATAAACTAATTTTAATCTCCGCAATTTTATTATTTCAGACGCCTCGTATTGTACCGTTGAATAAAGTAATTTGATTGATGGCTTGATTCTTATCAAGAAAATCTCACACTTTTATAAGTTTAAAAGTTTCTTAGAGAGATGATAAGAATGACACACTGTGTCAGACAAGCAATCATCATGCATTGCTCTTAAATGATTAGAATATGCCAGTCTATTATTCCAAGTCTGGAGACTATAAAAAATTTATAATATTAATATATGTTCAAACGTGTAAATATACATTGTTAAAATATATGCATTGTTAAAATATTAATATTTTATTCTCTTTTCTTTGTCTATTTCTCACCTTCTTGTCTACTGGCCAGGTTGATATTATTTAATATTTACGTAAGAATACTCAACAACGATGTTGAAGCATCTGTCTTTCGTTCTAATCGATCGTAAAACTGATTCTATTCATACAAAACCTATTTTTATTGACATGGACAGATTAATTAGGTTCACAGAGAGATTTCTAGTAACATGAAATCGCTTGTTATACGCAACACAAAAAAACATTGCGACACACGGAAAATATAAAGTAAGCAAAATCTTTGGTCGCAAAAATCGCGTGTTCTACGACAGACATTCCGATTGCATGCAAATTCGAAATCGTAAGCGAAATTAATGCATGAATTTGTACGAATCAAGTTAAATTTTTATATATGTATAAGTCGGTTACTATAAAGTGCTTACGCAATGTCATTTCATGGTGATGTACAATGCAAGTATATATATATATATATATATATATATATAAACTATATGTATTCACATACATAACCAGACTATAATGATACTAGAGAAAATCGTCGAGGTAACATCGCCACGCGACGACCCTTCGACGAATATCAGCACATCGTTCTTTGGAAGCCACATTAGCTTGCACATAGATGACTTGAAATTAACTGCGCATAAACAATGTCTCATTATTAATAAGTTCGTGAATGAGGATGTGACGTGAAACAATTTACGAGAGGGAACATCTAGCAATTACACAGTTACGTTAAAACAGAAGCAAATATAATCGACTCCGTTTACTTGTGACTTACAAAAGATAATAAATGCCAACAAGGAGGGAAACGAAATCGATTTAAAAGTACATTCAACGGGGAATCGTTTTAGACATTGTCCATTTGCCGAGGTTTCGCGGATCACTATAAATAGATGACAAGAAAGGGGGAATTAATCGGGCGAGCCGAACGGGTAATTCGTGTCGCAATTGCGTGCGATTGCTCAAAATTTGTCATATCGTCGTACATGGGAGGTATTTATTAAACAAATTGATTTCTTCAACATGCTTGGACATAATCTGCCCTTGACACAATTATTGAGTAGATGATAGTTCTCGTAAATGGGTACTCTTGTCGTCTTTACACGAGTACCTGCGGTTAGTACGGTTAGTAAGCTATGAAAATTCCGTATTAGTCCTTATCACATGCAATATCTCTGTACAATTTTATACTTTATCAGCAATGATTTTAGAAATATAAAAATTAGTCTTTTCCTAAATAAAACTCTCCGATGTCAGGCAATATTAGGTAACTGATAACATTTGTAAATGATAACGCGGCGAATGAATCATAACCGAACGGAATGAATTAAAAATAAAATTGAACCAAAAAGATTAGAATGCTTTATATATGGAAACCAGTCATGTTGCCGTCAGACATGGTACAAGAACCTGACCTTAGTTAACGATCACAGAAGACCTTGAGGAAGCTAAATCTCAAGGCACGAAGGTCAGTAAAAGCGCAAATCCTTGTGGGTGGTTGGTCGATCAGAGTTAGAAACACGTCTGTCGAAAATAAGGGAAAAAAGAAGGCAAATTCTATTCGTAAGGATGGGAGAAAAGCTGAGATCGCGGGCCAATCGAGACAAACGAAAATGGCAGGGATTGGCTGCGACGAAGATCGATGTGCAACGAGGCGCGCGCGCGCGCGTCACTTTCCTACTCTTCTTACTGGGTACATCCTACCACAAAGTGATTATGTGTTAACCAAAAACACGAAGGGCAAAAAAAAAGATAATCTTTTTTGTCTTTTTTGGCTAGAATATGTCGGTGACGGAGAGATAGATCAATTGAAATGAATTCACTCCCGATTTTCTTCCCGGGGAAGTCGGTCAGTGGAAACTCGGCTGTTCCTGATATACATCGACTAGTTCATGGGGAAGCGCGGAGAGCTAACAGTTGTGAGTCGGAAGAGCGTATGCGCCATATGTACGTAATTATTACGGCCAATCGGGGATTGAAAGCGTCGTGCAAAGATTTGTCGTACTATTGAAGCTCCAGGGTCCGCTTCGTCCCGTTGGTTCCCTCGCGTGCGTGCGTAAGCGCGCGCGCACATAGCCGCGCAACGGTGGTTCAGTTGGTTATTGACGTTCATGTGCACGGGGCGCGTTGTTAGAGTCTCTTCAAGCACAGCAGCTCGAGAATAGCGAGAATTCGCGCGGGTTATTTGCCGACCAATCGGAGATAGGAAGGACGAGAAATACCAGAATCTACCGAGGCCAAGGAAACGGAAAAACGAAAGGCAAGTCTGATCAGACGAGCCAGAAAAAATAGCCGAGTTTGAGCGAGGAGGGAGGTTACGGAACCCAACTACATGGCTCCGAAAATTATTCCTTCTTTTCGCCGTCCACACGTCTGTTACCCACGTTCAAGCGAGCACCATCGGTTCAATCAGCGGACTACCGCTCCGAAATAATTATAACGATACAAGTTTTGGTTAGTTTCGTGAGTTTCGTCAGGAAAAGAAGAACTATCCAGCAGCGGCTAGCTCTGCTCCATGTATGTACGTCCCCTCTGTTACATCTTGAACAATATACGCTGAAGAGTATAGAATCGACGACTGTGATAACGAGTTTGAAGGGAGAGAAAGAGAAAGAGTGTGCGCAACGAAAGAGAAGCATGACCGTAATGCAAACGATGCTGTCGATTTAGCAAATCGTCGTTAATATTTTTCACGATTCAAGAACTGTCCCCCGCTGGTGAAGCTTATGTCACACGCAATCGAAAGGAACACTAGCATTCACGGAAGACGAAAGAGGAGAAAATTGAAAGAAGAACGGCATCAGATCGTAAAAAAAGAAAAGTCGAAGTTAAGAAGCATGCTCCAGGACAATATCGTGTTAGCAACGTGAAACGTGAGCTTCCTTCAATACCTTCGTGTCGTTAAAGTGATTTTCCCTGCGCGTGGACCACGGTTGCGATCTCTCAATTTCGATGCTTCGTTTTTGCACGAAGGGGAAACTAATGTTCAAGCTCGTACGAACAGAAGTCCTTTCAGCAATCGTTGGATTCTCATCCTTCTTCAATTATCCCTTCGTTTCCCTTGTTTCTTCTGATTCGTCTCGTAATCCCCATTCGTCGTGTTTTTTTCAATTTTCCTATTAATCTATCTGATGTTATTGAAAAAAAAAAACGGCAAACTTCTCGATTCGTAGTGTGCAAATTGAAGGAAAAATTATATCGTCCGATATATACGACGACTCTCTCCCTCGTACACAACCCACGCCATATCGATTATACTCGCTGCTCCGAGACAGATATTTGAATCGTTGATTTTCAGCCTTGCCCATGTAAATCACGTAATTTTCACGTAATTCTGTTGATCTTCTTGAATCATCGTTACATTCTTCCTTCGTATCTCGTAACGGATACGTTTCGACCCACAGGTTTTAACTTCCGTGAACGTCCACGCGACACTTCAACCGATCAATGGTGAAGAACAACATAATTTTTTACAACCAACAGCAGAATAAAGTGAACAGGGAGAAGAAGTGTAGCACACCGCGTGTCTCTCCCTTCTGCCGTTCGCAGAAAGGAGCCTGCGTCCGCGTGGGAGCTATTTCGGCGAACAGGCGCGTTCTTCGTACCAGGCATGCCTTCCGCGTTACCCTAAGGAATTTTTTCTACACAAACAACTAATTTATTCGAGATAAAACGCTATTATAACAGAGAAGAAAGAAAAAAAGAGAAAGACAGAAAATAATAAAAAATATTCTTATAGTTAAACGTAACAATTAAGATCCTTTTGTTGAACTGCCGTCGCTGTTCTCGTCGTCTTCGTCGTCGGCTTCGTTGACACTGTCGTTAACGTCGTCGTCGTTGTTGTTATTGTTACACTCGTTGCTCGTCTCGATAATCATTCTCGATAGCCATTGTTGCTCTCGTTGCTGCCATTACCTACTGTTTTCTTCGTCTTTCGTGCCAGTAAATGATCGTTGTGGTGACTTTTCAAAATATATCTATACACTTTTTAAACATCGATTCGGTTACTCTGGTCGATGCTGGTCCATCGAATTGCTTAAGTGTCCAAAGATAGGAGGAAAGGTGAAGGGAGCAAGGAAGAAAGTAAAATATAAGGAGTAAAAACAGGATACAGAAGACAGAGGGGAAGGTGGAAATTAAACTATTTATCTTTGAAACAACGGACTCTGAAGTGAAGCATGGTAGTCAAGAACGAGAATACGAGAAATGGGCATGAGCTGGCTCCGTTAAACGAGGAACGTCAGGCAAGCCAGAACGTGACAATCGTGGTAACAGGAAGTCAAAATGCTACTGGTAATCAAGAAACCAAAGAAGAAAACAGAGCAGCATGGAGCGGCAAGATGCAATTTTTCCTCAGTATTATTGGTTACAGCGTGGGACTTGGGAATATCTGGAGATTCCCTTATCTGTGCCAACAGAACGGAGGAGGTAAATGATATTTCACCCACTCCCAATTTTTTTCTATTTCGTTGTTATCGCCCCTTCTCGTGAGAAGGGAGAAAAACAAAGGGGAAAAAACGTATATTGACTCTTTACCGAAAGGTAAAGAGCCTTAAACTTAAACTTGTTCGTTCTCCTTGAAAATGTTCTCTGGAACGAAGATAGATTTAAAGCTAGAGCTCAAATGGCCACGTAAAACGCAACGTTATACGCTATTTTCGGTCTCGCTGTTCGATCAACCGTTCTCTCACTTCCCTCGCCTTAAAGCTTAAAAATAAATATCTTCGAAGCGTTTCACGAATCTTCGAAATATCAACGAGAACGAGTTGCGACGAGTCATCTATAGCTGATGTCGATGTCTGGTCGTCGTATCGCACACTCGATTACATTTCGTCCCCTCTCTCGAAAATCTAAATACAGAGGGAAACCCAGAGAAACGATAAAATCCTATAAAATTCGCCCTTGAACCTTCCGCTCTCTCTCTCTCTCTCTCTCTCTCTCTATTCACAATCTTTTTTCTATCCACGACCTACACCTCGAGCCTGGCGTAACTCGATTACGTTCCAATGCAAACGAAATGGAAACACATATACCGATAGACGCTGTCGGCTTACGTGGGTGGATGCGCGAACAAGGGTGGCGGGTGAACTACGAATGAAATCACGACGATAGGACGTTACGTCACAGAGACGTGTTTTACGCGACCGTTAGATCGGACGCCCCCACGAATTTCGTCGCGGAAGTTTCCACCGGTGTTACGAACGTCGACGAGCCAAGATCCGATGAACAGAGAGAGAGAGAGAGAGAGAGAGAGAGAGAGAGAGAGAGAGA